AGTAGTTCCTTTTGGGGGGTTATATTTAGAATCCTATAAGGTAATCCCCAAAAAAGGAACTACTTAGGGGCCTATGGGTATAGGCTGAATTTCTAGGTCTCTTGGCTTCTCGGGAGTAGCCTTTACGCTTCATGCCCTTAGGAAGCCCTAAACCCTGAACCCTGAACCCTGAACCCTAAACCCTAAACCGTCTCAGGTGTTGGGGTTCAGGGTTTAGGGCTGTAGGTTCTTGGCCTCAAAAGCTTAGGGATTAGAACCCAAAGGGTCCTAGGTACTGTTATGGGGCATACTTCCCTAAATCATAATAGTAATTCCTAATATAGAAACCCTACATTCTTAGGTTCTTGACGTCAGAAGCTTATGGGAGTTAGGATTAGGGGGACCCCTGGGGATATAGACCCTTTCAATAAGGTCCCCTTTAAGAGAGCCACAAGTAGGGTTTAGAAGGGTCCCCTTTAAGGGGTCTCCCTAATACTACCTAGGAGTTTAGGGATTCGAAGTTTAGGCTCCTGGGGAAAATCGGAAGGCGCTGACTCCCAACTTGGAGGTTCATGGGTAATATGGGAACCTGATTCAGAGACCCTGGGTCTTTACGGTTTAGGGTTTAGGGTCTAGGGGTTTAGGGTTTAGGGGTTTAGGGTTTAGGGTTTAGGGTTTAGGGGTTTAGGGTTTAGGGTTCTTAGTATGAATCCTTGTATATTGGTGTTATAGGGCCAGGGTTTCTTAATCAGGCTCCTACATTAGGTCTTTTGCTTTCAGTAGGGGTTACAAGTAAATATCGCTACCCTACCTTATAACCCTACCTTATAACTTATAACCCCGCATGACATGACCTCCAAGTAAACCCCCCGAACACGCAGCTAGCAAGTTGGAACATCACTGTCCGCATGCCCTCGGAGTACAGTGCAACGAATCCTAGCACCAGTCAACGTTCCAGCCTTTTGGTTCCCTTATGAAACCTTGTATAACCTTCTAGGTCCTTATAGAGCCTTTACTTGCTTTCCCGATAAGCCAAGGAAATAAAAGGTTAAACTGTCAGAATACTACTAAACTATACGAACCCAAAAAAGTTTAAAGGCTGAGTATATTGGGGAACTAAGCTTATAAAACCCAATGAGTCCCTGCACAGGCCCTAAACTTTAAATCCTAAACCCTGAACATTAAACCCTAAACACTAAAACCTTAAACCCTAAA